GCCGTGACTGCTATCTTATGGAGTAATTGACTCATCTGGAACATTTATTCAGACATCACCTTTTATTAGATACAAAATACTGTTATATAAATGAAGTTAATAAGTTCCAACCTTCATTTATGTCCAGTTTTGGATCTCTGTGATATAAAATGGGTTTGCATACAAGGGACAGAAACTGTTATATAGACTCCAGAGAGAGATATATCACCCTGCCACTGTACAAAGCATGGAATATGCAGTTCAGTTTTGGGCACCATTTCACAAAAAGGATGTTGTGGAACTGGATAAAGTGCAGCGAAGGGCGACTAAACTGATAGGAGGCATGGAGGAGCTCAGCTGAGGAAAGATTAGCTGACCTGAATTTGTTCTCTCAGGAATAGAGGTGATTAAGAGGGGACATGCTCACCATGTATAAATACATAAATGGTCCTTATAGAGCTTGGTGCCAAATTATTCACTTTAAGGTCACTGCAAAGGACAAGGGGGCACTCTTTGCGTCTGGAGGAAAAGAGGTTTAACCTTTGCATACGAAAGGATTCTTCACAGCTAGAGCTGTTAAAATGTGGAATAGACTCCCTCAGGAACTAGTTCTTGCTAGCTCAGTTAATTGTTTTAAAAAACATCTGGATGTATTCCTAAATGCACAGATTACTGGATATTGAGTTCTTAGAGGTATATCAAACATCAGAGATTGTTGATCCAGGGAATATCCGATTGCCTTATGGGATCAGGAAGGATTTTTTTCCCTTGTTGGAGCAAATTGAACCATGCTTTATAGGTTTTTTTTTGCCTTCCTCTGGATCAACATGGGGGAATTGGGGACATAGCGTTCTGTTGAGGCTTTGCTTCTATCTTTTTTTTTCTCCGTATCTCTATAGGTTGAACTCGATGGACCTGTGTCTTTTTTCAACCTAACTAACTATGTAACTATGCTAAATATTGGATCTATTTCAACAAGTGCTGCCATTATATATTTACTCTCTGATATCGCAGCTGACAATCACAGTTTCACAATTTCTTTGGACATTCTAAAAAAAGAAGACTTTTAAAGTATTTTGACCTACCTTCGTTTCCTTGAGGGCTTCCTTAAGACAAAGATAACAGAGATATTTTGAAAGTAACTTTCCATATACAAATGTACCCTGAGATATATTCGGGGTTCCCATAAAGTGTTGCTTTTTTCTCTTTTTTTTTTAAGTGTTTTTAACTCAAATTGGTCAATATTTTTTTTTCTGTATGAGATATAAAGTTGTTTTGTACTTTTCTCTATAAATACTGTTGTGCAACAGTATGTTTTCTGATAAACCATTGGGTACTTTTGCAGTCAAATTTGAGAAAAGTCCCTCTGTATGTATGTTATGTGTTCCCAATCACGTAGCATAATCAAAAATATATTTAAAAAATAAAATAAAATACCTTTTAGCCCAGGTCCACATTGGAGCATTTTATCGCAATAAGCAAAACGCCTGTCACTGTAAAAAGTGCAGGAGCTTTTTTTTGGCATATTACAGCTCGTTTTGGCCCCATAAACTTAATAGCAAACACTTGAAAACGCCCGTTTGATGTGTTTTTGCTCCTTTTTATGCGCCTTTTCTCATTAACATCAATGAGCTACAATCTGCTCACAAAAACATGCTTCTTGCAGTATGCGCATAAAAATAAACAGGCAATAAACGTGTCTCAAAGCACGCAAAAACGCTGACGCTTAGGTGTGAACCAGGCCTTAGATGTTTCTTCGGTCTAGGCCTTTGTGCTGATTCCAGGGTACTCTGAGCAAAGTAAGGTAAGTGAAAGTAAAGGGACAAACTGAGGGACAGACAGAGCTTCCCCTTCTTAGTCATTTGTTAGGACAGACAGTGTCAAATCTAGTTTACAACTGATAATGAAATCTGCCAGCACAGTATTTGCCATGTGTCAGCACGGGGCAGTTCATTCATTTCAATGGGCTACCCTACACACGACAAACATGGGCAAAGATGCGCACTTTGCCTGCCGCATTTGGGTTGCCATTAGCAAGTCATGGCGTTGCAAGTGCATGACGCGTTCACCCACATTGTATGAATACCCACGCGAGGCCTTAAAGGGGATCTAAACCCTCCGTTTTTTTTGCCTATATCTGCTGCAGTAGTAGCAAGCAGAAGATACAGGCAAGAAGTTTAAAAAAAACAAAAAACGCTTTAACTAGTTTCAAACTTACCTCGTTATCGCTGCTCGCTCCCGCGCCGAGAATCAGGAACTGCTTGTACGGCCGCAAAGGATCTTGGGGCTGGCGCAGTTCCGATTCTCGGCCGGGAGACGAGCAGAGACGCAAGGTAAGTCTATGGACGCGTGCACCCGCATGCAGACACCGCTGGATCGGAGGGACAGAGCAGTCAGCGCCGGATCGGAGAGCCGCCGCACCGCTGGAGGGACACATGAAAACATGGGGAAAGAAGAGGAAGATCGGAAAAAGAGACATAATTTAAGGTGGGGGAGGGGAATTTTTTTTTAACTTTAATGTCACTTTAAGGGCCCACTAACACATTCCAGTTGTAATTTGTTTTGGTAATACGTGCAATACTGCAATGCACAGCAATGCATCATACACCAGTTAGCAAGTTGTGGCGCCACAAATTTTTACTGGCACACCAATACACTAACGTACATTGATGCATTGTTAGTGCAGCCAAGGCGGCAGGCTGGTGTTACGTTCGCCTGGCAGAGCTTGCAGCTCAATAACACTTTAACTCTGTCATCAGTGAAAGATAAGCATGCCAAGCGGTATACAGGACTGTGAGAATGTCAAGGGGTTTGTAGGGCTGTTATTATCTGGATAACCTTTTCCATGTCTTATGCCTGGCTTATGTCTGGTTATGCAGGCCAATGTGTATGCCTATCTTTTATACCCCATGTGTACCTCAACATCTTATATAGGGGTATGTGTGACCTGCCTTTGAATTCATCATTGTTTTTCCAGTGAACAGGTATTCTGCATTAAAGATCCCATCTTTTCAATATGGCCGGTTTCTGGAAAACAATCCTTGGCAAAGTTGGCAGTGATAACCATTACTGAGATTGGCAGGGGGATAACTAGAAATTACAGGGCCCCATAGACAAAATTTGTAGGGGGCCCTGTAATTTTTAGTTACACCCACCTGATAATCCAAATAGCCCACCCGAGAGTGACCCTGCAGAGCCCACCACAAACTCTCTATGGTGGGCTATGCCGGGTCTCAGGTGGGCTGGTCAAACCCTCTTACCTGTCATCCCCAATCCTCTGTCCGCCTCCTCCTCCTCCAGTCGCTTGCAGGCCCTGCCTCCTCTATCGCCGTGCCCCACCTCCTCCATCGCCGGGCCCCACCTCCTCCATCGCCGGGCTCTACCTCCTCCATTGCTAGGCCCCGCCTCCTGCATCGTTGCCGACGACGGACCCTGCCACCTCCTCCGCAGCTGCTGGTTGTCTCTGACTCAGCAGCGGCTGTGAGGAGGAATGCGCCGCTGCACACATCACTGACAGTTTGTCAGTGATGTGAATAGCGGCGCGTTCCTCCTCACAGCTGCCAGTGACAGCCAGCAGCCTGAGATGCCATAGCGACCCAGGCGCTTAAATCTCAGTCTTATATAAAACTTTTAATAGGGCCCATTCATATCTTGCCATTGTGGTAAATGGTTCATTACCACAAATGTGAGGACACATGAACCGTGTTGCAGTTCCAGTGTTTTTTTGAATGGTGATGCAACACAGTATTGCAGTAGCTGGTGACGCAACCCCATTGCCACATACATTTTATGCCTTGGGTGCGCTGCATGAAAAAGAAGGTCAGGTATGTTCTTTTTGTACATTTAGATGGGGTGCCAACCCATTCAAAAAGGGTAACCCAGCATACCTTTGGCACCTTAAAAGTTGAACTGATGCCAAAACCTATTTTATAGAGTAGAGTATAGAGGCATTAAAACATCTCTCATGTTTTTATTGCTGTCTGTTTCCCTGTTAGGGAGATTCACCCCCTCTATTTGTCCTGGTGACCATTTTCACGCAAACTGAAAGTGAAAGTAAACCCTGGAATTTTGGGTTGTCACCAGAACATGAATAGATGGAAAGTCTTTTCATGGGCACACTAGTTCTGGTGGCCCTGTTGAAACCCCCCCAGGCATCTCCCTCTCTCTTTAGAGGAATTCACTCTCACTTCAGGTTGCGGCTACTGAACAGAAAGTGAAGGAAAATCTCCCCAAAGGGATGAAGATGGTAATACAAAAATCTCAAAGGTGTTACAACCGTCCCTTAGGCTTTGATCACCCGTAGCGATTTGGGATTCCCGTAGCAGGATTCAAGACAATGATTACATGTGAACTGCCACTTATAGATGCGGCTGCTGTCACCCAGTTATTAACTTGAGTGGGCACAGTGGCCGCATCTAAATCCATATTTTCCTGTATCAGGAATCCCAAATCACAAAGTGTGAATGAATCATTATTCTATCCAAAACTTAAAAAAGTATGGTTTCAATTCTACGTTAACACATGATAATGCATTAATATTACACACAGGAGAATATTTATACAGCAGTGAGTGTGACTTCCACCAAACATTCACGGTTGCTAAATCAATCACTGTAATTTAAAGCACATGTCCCTGGAATATTTAGCTGCACACAATGCCTGGTGAATATCAAATTCACTGCTTATGAATAGTGTGAATTGGTCCTAATACAGAGCAGTAAATATCTTTTTCTATCTGCGTCCCCTACTGTGCTCCAGGCTTTCAGTTCAGTGCCCCCGCTGTTCTAGTGTTGTGCAACTATCTTTCCAGAGTATTAGCTTAGTGTAATTTCCCGGCAATGTGATTTACATTCTTGTATTTGTCAAGCATGCTTTTGTTTGCCTATTTTGTCACTTTAATCTCACAATGTTTCTCCAGTTACTGATTGAAAGGGACTGTTTAGACAGGACTCCTGCCCTCCTCCAGTGTCCCTTTATTAAACCCCCACCTTCCAGAGGCTTCTCATACCCCTGGTGGCATCATGGGGTGTAGAGCTTTGTGTCTCTTACTGCTGGGTCTCCTTGCCGGGTCCACCTATGGACAATCGTAAGTATGATCTTAACTAACTCAGGCATCCTTAATGGTAGATACTATTTGTGAGCAGACATAGCCTTAGTAGTAGATTGCTATTTGTGAACAGACTTTGCCTTAGTAGTAGAAGCCACTTGTGAGTAGACATAGCATTAGTAGTAGATGCAATTTGTGAGTAGATGTAGCATTAGTAGTAGTAGATGCCATTTGTGAGTAGACGTAGCCTTAGTAGCCATACATGTTTGGCCACATACGTAAAATTTTTGCAGATGATTGTTGTATCTATATGATGGCCAGAGATGAATTGGTACAATCTTGGGTATAGCTTGTGGGTATTGGGACATTTCCCAGGCAATAGAGTGTAAAAACTGGCTTCTCGTGGTTGGTGGGGTCAATTATTGCATAGGAAGATATTCCCACATGTTTGAACACCTACCTGTGACCAGGTTCTGATCAGAATTGACTTCATTATCATCATAGGTGCCTAGAGTCAAATAGTGCGAGGAGTGGCAAATATCTCATTACCTGCCTATGGCCAGCTGTATGGACATCTGCTGCAGCCAACCAGGAATAATACCTGAAGCATTTTGTTAACGTATTGAGACATGTGCATTATGGCGATCTATGCCGTGGGTACGTTGCAGGCTACTGTACTTGGCACAGGTACGCACATTAAGGATAATTTACTAAGACTGGGGCAGACAGAATCTGGAGCAGTCACTCATGGCAACCAATCAGCTTCTAACTTTCATTTTCAAAGCTTAACTGAACAAGCTGAAGCTAGAAGCTGATTGGTTGCCATGCACAGCTGCTCCAGATTCTGTACTCACCAGTTTTAGTAACATCTCCCCATTGCATCTTTCATTACTGTGTCTTTCGGTGATGCAGTAACTTTTTAGTACATCTTACCAAAATGCAAATATACAGCCAGACTAAGTCCTTACCTGCGAAAGAAAAAAAAGGGGGGGGGGTTCTTTACTGTAAGAGCTGTAAATGTGTGAAGGGACCTTGCACATTAACAGGCTCTAGCAGATGTAATAGATTATCAAGGAACAGACTGGATGCTTTTCTAAAAACCTAACATATAAATGTTTCCTTGTATCCTGTGGGCACGGCTCTTTATTTTTCAGTCAGTTTAGTGATGTGACAATGTAAATTGTCGGCTGTTTAGTGTTTAATGACCATGAGAAAAGTCTCAGCACCAGGGGTCTGCTAGTCTTGTAAACCTGCACGCATACAGCTTTTATGTTGAAGGGTTCAAGTTATATAATGTGATGTCCATGAAAAAAACATCTCAGGAACTGCTTTGTCCACTTCAGCATGAGACAATTATTCATTGTTGTGTCTGTGAAGGTTCTCCTTCATCCAGGTCATGGTATATCTGTAAAAAATAAGTCAAGGCAAATGGACTTGCTGTATTTTTCTGCAAGTCCAGTTGCCTTGATTTATCTTTTACAGATTTATTCATTGTTGTGTTTTTTGTTTTTTTATATCATGACTTCTATATTGCTACGTTTGATTGGTTAAGGTTAGAACTACGCAGGCAAATATGGATCTATGAGACAGATAAAAAAAAAATTCTATTGCAAAAATTGCTCTTTTGTGCTACTGCAGGAGACTGTTGGGTGAGATTCATCTTGTGATCTTGTATGTTTGTATGGGAATGATCTCTGACTGCTACTAGATCCTACTGGATTAGTTTACTCCATAGGGAGCCATTAGTTTAATCTGTTTAGTGATCAATTGTTACTCCAAATTTAGTACCATGATTGAGCTACTAAAATTTCCTGTGTAGCTTTAAGTAGCTTTAGCCTGCCTGCAAATGTTTAAAGCTTAACTCCCGGTATACATTTCTATGCATATTTGCATTTGTCCAGCATGACCCCAGTGTAAGTATATCTATTTTATATCTAGAAGGACCACGGAGATCCTGGGGAGACGATCTCCCAGATCCTGTACAGTAACCTCCCCTCTGCTATGGAAACACAGGGGGTTGTGCAGTCACCACATCTAAAGACTGTTAAGCTACTTTATAATAAACTTTTGTTTTTTGGGTTTGTCTATATTTAAAGCTGATCAAACGCAATCACTGATTGGCCAAGTATGTCATTTACAGTAGATGAAAAGTTAAAAAAAGTTCTACATTTATTTCTTTTTTCTGATTTGATCAGCAATTGGTCTGCTCCAATAGCTGGGAGCAGTCTCAAAACAATACTCAGCCCACTCTGTAGACTCCTGCTGCATTTAGAGAGATACTCTATACAGTAACCACTGTCAATCTATGACTAGGGGTAAGCCGGGAGGCATGGCAACCTGTATAGTCACAGGCAGTACCCTGGGCTTCTTGTTGTTATGACCATCAAAGTGGCTGAAGCAGCTGGCAGGATCTCCACATAATTTGGGCATATTGAAACCCAATCTCAATAAAAGGGACACATGGAAGACTTAGCATTCATGTGTAGATAGAAAATACTGCAATGTATGTTAGTTAGGCATTTGTTCTGTTTACTGATAGAGGAGAAGCCCTGGGTGGCATGACAGTGAGAAGCCAAGAAGTACCCTGCGCTTCCCATTGTTGTCACCATCAAAGAGGCTAAAGCTGATGGCAGCATTATCAGGTATTGTAGGCATATGGAGACACAATCTAAATAAAGGCACACATGGAAGACTTAGCATTCATATGTAGATACAACATTTTGCAAGGCATGTCAGTTAAACATTTGTTCTGTTCACTGATAGAGGAGAAGCTCTGGATAGCATGACAGTGAGAAGCCAAGAAGTACGCTGGGCTTCCCATTGTCGTCACTATCAAAGAGGCTAAAGCTGATGGCAGGATTATCAGGTATTGTAGGCAAATCTAAATAAAAGCACACGTGGAAGACTTAGCATTCATATGCAGATACAGTAAATGACAAGGTACATCAGTATAGTGACCTGTACACTAAAACAGGAGACGCTCTGGTTTGCATGACAAGGAGAAACCAAGACGTACCTGGACTTCTCTTCGTCATGATCATGAAAGAGGTTGAAGCTCCTGGCAGGAACACCGGGTCATTTTGGTATACTGAGACACAATCTGAATAACTGGCATATATGGAAGGTAAACACAGAGGAACTCAAAGTATTTGCTCACAAAGACATTGCACTTTCCCTATAAATGTCTATATTTGATATATTTCCCCTTTTTCACAATTCTTAGTCCTGTGTCCTTCTGGTCCGAGTTTTTTTTCCAAATCTTGTTGTTTCTGATATCTACATACAGTATAGTGTACATATAAACTTTTAATCTTTCTGTATGTCTGCCAGTCATGTTGGAAGATGTTGCAAAAAAGATGGGAATTTGGCCCAGACATGGACAGAACTCCCACCCATGTACAAATAAACCGGTTTCTGTGGAAAGTGATCGATAGCTCTTGTGCAAGGTCACATGGAGTAGACGTCTACATGGGAGTAATTTAACTGGAATAGGGAATTTTATGCAAACATTAAACAAATAAATTGCCAACATTGTCTGTTTGTGCAAGATAATTTTTTTGCCTTTATCATCAACATCAGAATTTGGAAATTTGGATAGATTTAAGCCAAAGGTTGTTTTATGATTAGCTAATTTATGCCTACAATTAAAGGGAAATTCTAGACAGGTCAATACTGAGATGAAGAACATACTGTATATAGGAGCTGCTTTACCTGCCCAAAGACGATGCAAACTCCATGCAGATATCGTCCTTGTTGGAAATGGATGGACCCCACATACTCTGGGCTACAGTGCTAACCATTTATTTATTATACTGATCCACGATCTATGTAATGGGAATAACCCACTGTTAGACCAGTTGGCAGTGATGACCAGATCAGGATAATCAGCACTTTTCATTTTTTATTTGCTTTAATACCGACTTGCATTCCTTAGGATTTGCAGGCAATAAGATTTAAGCTATCATGACTGATGCACAAATCCACAGGTATACACTGTATATAGAATATTTAAAACGTTCAGTTCACCAACTAGCGTAATGTGTGCATCAATTTGCTATTTGATATAAGGGATATTTTTTCTGAAACATGGGCACCACCACCCTTTTGTTGCTGCTACAGTAACTATTATACAGCAGCAGTATAGACATGTAAATGAATGCACAGCCTTCTTGTAGCAGTGATTTGTCCAAGTCTAAAGTCACCTGATCACATACCCACGTGACAACCCCCCTGCCATATGTCCCATGCTTTCCTGTCCCTTCCTGGTGCCTGGGACCTATATGTTGGGTGCCCGAATTATGGATGCAGAATGAAGAGTGGCAGGGAAACAGCGATCTTTCACTTCTATTGGGCAGTATGAACTCAGCACTTCCGGGTTTAGAGCTGTCAAACCCCATTGGCCAGGGAAGCAGCTCAGCTTCACCAGAGTGCAAAGGTGACATTAGGGGTCTAGCAGACCCTTGAAGTCTTCTTGAAGAAGAACTGGCACCTGAAATGATGGATGTCAGAATGAAGAGCGACAGGAAAACAACAATATTTCACTTCTATTGGGCAGTATGAACTTGGAAGCGCTCAGCACTTCCGGGTTTAGAGCTGTCAGACCTCATTGGCCAGGGAAGCAGCTCAGCTTCACCAGAGTGCAAAGGTGACATTAGGAGTCTAATAGACCCTTGAAGTCTTCTTAAAGAGATACTGGCACCTAAAATGTGCTATCATATAGGGGGCTTGTCAGCCTCTTTGATATAGCAATAAAGTTAAGTAGGTTTTAATAATTAAAGTTGAATCAAATAAATAAAAAAATGCTCCAAATTTTTTTGGAAAGCCCCCGCACTTTGCTTATATTCACCTATTTAACCAAAGGCAAGTATTGGATGCGCAAATGCACAAAAAGAACATTTCATCACACATATTAGGTACTTTTGCGGTCACCAGTGAGAACAATAATTCTCGGAGCACAATGAAAGGTTGACTATGAAACTGTGATGTGTGAAACCTTTTTAACAGGGGCAGGCAAATTTTGAGGCTTGAAATATTTTGTGCTTATTTACTCATCTTTTATATTTTACAGAAACATCAGGAATTATATTGTGTTGGTGTGCAATAAAATATATTTGAGTGTATTTTTTTAACTGAAACTATATATTTAACAAGCAGTATTGCAAAGATCATGCAACATAAAAAAATTAAAATAAAAAAAAAAACAATTAAAAATTGTACAAATAATGTTTTGGGGTTTAAGTGCATTCTTGTGCAAAAAAACCCCACATTTTATTATTAGTGCGGAAAACAAAATAACGGCTCGCACAGAAAAATGGTTCAAAAGCATAAACTGATAACATTATATAACATCAAGCTGGTCTCTTATTTTTATCTGTAGTGAACATGTTATACATTCCCTTTAATTATGGATAAAAATTCTGTATACATGACAAATTTCACTGGTGTACATCATGCCATTTTTTTTACTCTGCCAGGTGTACCCTGATCACCTCTAATGTGTTGCGGGTGGACAGCGAAGAGACCTTCTTAGTAGATGGACATGGCACTGCTTTGGATGCTGAAATTATAATCCAGGATTTCCCCAAGAAGAAATTTGTTATTGCTCAGGGCAGGATCTCTGTCAATAATGACAATGGCTTCCTGGGAACAAGCAAATTCTTGGTGAGTGTTTCTTACCAATATAATAATATATCTATATAGGGGCTTCCCTAGATGTCTCTCCACCTGAGGTCGTGCTCCTGATGCATGTTCCGGGGAGGGGGTGGGGGTAAGTTACTCTTGGTGCACGTTCCTGTGGGGGTCGCCAGTGGCTCATGGTGGTAGATGTTCTGGATTCTGGATGGGATGAGGGCTTTTCTTGGTGCATGGCGTTCCGCCTAGGTCACTGATGTCACTGGTTGCCAGGAGCTGGATGGGACACCAGCCAGAACATCCCGCTCACAGGAAGCACAGTGTAATCCATGTGTAGCTACATGAAGCATACACAGGACTAAGCACTCTTTCCTGCCTCCATATGACAGCATGGCATGTCAAAACAGCCAATGAGCAGTACCAGCATTGTCATCTGGAAGGAAGAGAAATTCGTCACCTGCTCCCCATACCTGGAAGTACTCAGTATTTTCTTCAATCGTGGTGGATGAATGGAGCATGGGGGAGTGATGGAAAGATATGAATAAGCATCTGGTGTGGCCACCAATCATATGTCATTGTTGCTTTGTTCTTCACGAACACAGCCCAGGTTTACTTTAATGACTGACAGATAAGGAATGGCTTTGATACAGTTGACCAGATTACTATAGTATTATAGGCCATGGTATGGAATGTGTGATCCTGTTATCTTTCCATTTCTTGAACTGTTGTTGGAATTCCTCCTAGGTTCCATCAACTAACCTGGATAAAGACCCAGAAAAGAAGCAGTTTGTCTATGTCATTGTGCGATCTGCCCCCTGCAACCTGGAGAAAGTTGTTCTGGTCTCCTATCAAAGCGGATATATCTTCATACAGACTGACAAACCTCTCTACACCCCGGGATCAACAGGTACATATGCCAATACCAAGAGAAAGTAATGCTTGTGGTATTCCTAAAGGGAAAGCACAGCAGTTTTATACATATTATTTCTTTATACACTATGTATGTATATTGAGCCCCAGACAACAGCTAAACTCTTAAAGAGGTTTTATCACTTTCCAAAGCTATGAAACACTGAAACAAAAGTTGTAAGTGGAGATACGCATCCGCATGATATATAACAATATATATTCTGTTTCAAATGCAGTTATATACAATTAAATACTGTACCTCCTACTCAGATTTTGCAGAATCCATAGGCAGCTTACCTCTTTAATAAGACACAGAAGTTAAAGTTAATATCGTTTTAATGCAGTACAGATGATGTTTATCCAGCCTTTTGAAGTGTAAGAAGACAATGAGTTTCCTAAGTTCTGTATTTTATGTTAAACTAAACTGACTAGTAGAGTAAACGTTATGTCTGGCTAGGGACTGTACTAACTACAAACAAAACAAGGGGGGGAGGGAGGAACATACTAGAGTTAAAAAAATTAATAGGCTGCTGTGGCAGCACATACCCCACATGGTACTACTATTACCACTATATTAATATTGTAATATAATGTAATACATATCAACAACATTATATTTAGAGCTAGGTTAAAATTTGGGTTACAGGGAAGGTTAGTATTATTTGCGTTATGGTGAGGGTTAGCCTGAGGGTTACAGGAAAGATTATTGTGGGGGTAAAATAAATATTAGTGTGAGTGTTACAACGAGGATTAGTGTTAGGATTACACAGAGGATTAGTGTTAGGAATAGAGGGAGGGTTAGAGTTATAGTTACACAGAGGGTTAGTGTTTGGGTTGCAAGTAAGTACAATATTAGGATTACAGGAAAGGTTAGTGTGAGAGTTACAGGAAGAGTCAGTATGACAGCCTGGCTACCAGAATTCTGGGGGTTTTTACTAAATTGGCAATGCGAATCTACAAAATTTAAATTAAATGTGTGAACCAATCATATTCAAAAAGCTGCTGTGATATAGACCCCTGGAGGTCTAGTGAATGAAATACAAAGAAACAAACAGCGCTAATTGTGCTAGTGAAAATATTTAAATCAAACAGTGTATATACGCCAATTTTGACATATATGGAAAGTGCAGGAAATCAATTAAAAAAATATCAAAAATCAAACAATATTTTCAAAAAATATTTGCTTCCGTGAACAAAAGGTTAACCCTGTGTATTCAAGTGAACAATATATGTTTGAATATTATTTATAGTGTTTCATATAGAACTATATGTGATGTGACTTTGTGATCAAATATGTAAATAAAATTGTGACTTTGTGATCAAGTATATAAATAAAAATGTATGAATTCTGTGAATATTCAATAAAGGAAATCTTTTTTAAAACGAATAAAAAAGTCTCTGTGTTAATTCAATCCGTTTTGAAGTGAAAAAGATGTATTGGGTGTTGGGTGATGTACACTTTGTTCTGGGGAGTGTATTGGAATCAATACATATCCCCTAAAAGTAGGCACTCACCCCTGGTCTCCGACTGTAACGTAGGAGGATGCAGACATTGCAGCTTTTCACTTACTAGTCCTGGGAGTTGCTCATGTGATTATAACGACCGACCCTCCCATTCAGAAATCAGTCTGAGAACAGACATTGGAAAACAACAGTTTCTACAGAGCAGAAGCAGACTGAGTGCTTTATCTCTGGAGAACCGACGGTAGCAAAGGTGCTAGCAACTAACAACGGACCAATCTACTTCGGTGAAATACTACTTGTGAGACAGTCGTTATATACATCTTTTTCACTTCAAAACGGATTGAATTAACACAGAGACTTTTTTATTCGTTTTAAAAAAGATTTCCTTTATTGAATATTCACAGAATTCATACATTTTTATTTATATACTTGATCACAAAGTCACAATTTTATTTACATATTTGATCACAAAGTCACATCACATATAGTTCTATATGAAACACTATAAATAATATTCAAACATATATTGTTCACTTGAATACACAGGGTTAACCTTTTGTTCACGGAAGCAAATATTTTTTGAAAATATTGTTTGATTTTTGATATTTTTTTAATTGATTTCCTGCACTTTCCATATATGTCAAAATTGGCGTATATACACTGTTTGATTTAAATATTTTCACTAGCACAATTAGCGCTGTTTGTTTCTTTGTATTTCATACCAGAATTCTCAGATGAAAAGGTCGATGGAGGCACCCTCCTTAATAACTGGTCCCAGGTTAGGTGGCTGTTATAGACACACCTATTGAATGGGTGAAAATAGAAGGACACATGGTTCTTAGGGTGCGTCCTCTGAGACAACCCAGGCTGAGCCACTCAATCCCTTTCAGAGAATTAGAGCTATTGTCAGAGTATCGATCCAATCAGCCAGGAGCAACTTGCAAGCATTGGGTAAGAGTTTGCATCCAGGAGATTGGAATTAGTATTAGTATTTTTATTAAAAAAAAAAAAAAACTGGATGAAGTAGCCATGTTGGTGGGCTCACACACTATAATGAAAGATGTAAAACCTTTAATTTAAACTTTTTTAGACAGAGTGGTTAAAACTGCCATTGTGTTGCTATTAGCGAGACTGATCCTCACTTGTCCTACCTACCACACAGGAGAAATAGTCTGAGCTTGAACACAGACAGCAATATCACTTTGTCAGAAGTTCTACCTCTTCCTCACTCTATCTAAATCTGAAGCCGGAGTTCCAGCTTTAGTGTTAAAGCAATGCAGGGGAGGTATTGGGACCCAAAAAGATTATCTGCCCTGGGGACCATGTTATCTCTTGGCACCCCTAATTCTGAGATGTAGAAAGTGCAGCCCTGACCTTTATAGACCTACTTGCCAAGCTTACTGAACTGTACAAATAGGACGTGTTTTCGCAAACGTATTTGTTGATCCCAAGTCCTCATAGATAACTTTACCCAACTTCACATTATTAGTCAAGCGTCTAAAGTCTAGTATTCCTGTGTACATTTTAGTTACAGAACAGCCCCAAGTAACATGTAAAATCCTCTCGGTAAACGCTAATGCAATCCAAAACCATTATCTACAGTATGCTAGTGTGCTAATATATGTTATAAAGTCCATTCAGCCTACAAATATTCAGCAAGTGAACAGAATACCATTCCATATCGAGGGCCACACATAATATCCTAATACCAAATAGTTATACCTGAGTATAAAGTGTATTTCCACTTTTGCTGGCAAATTCTGGTTCCACAATACATGCCCTATTCTGACAGAAACGTTTTTCTCTGTAATGAATTTCCCTCTGCAATGCAAGGGGGGCTGGACAGGGAAATTATAACATTAGATTGTTAACATATAATTAACGTAAAACAATTAAACATATTTCTTCTGTGTAGTCGGAAGCCTTTGCAAGCTTCCTTCTCAATTTTAATAAGAGGACGCTCTTTATGTCCTCATAGAAAGATTTAGGACAGACTGAGCTTCCCCTCATTGACATACAAGGCTTCTAGATCTGTAACCCTTTGTTAGGACAGACAGTGGTCAAATCTAGGTTACAACTGATAATGAGATCTACCAGCACAGTACAGACAGGGTTCATTATCGTCTTTTCCGAGGGTTCATTATCGTACATAGTACCCTCCCCACCCCCTTTGCACTCCAGACAGATATTCAGCACAGAGAACAACTTTTCTTTCAGAACTGAGCAGGTTTTGTGCAAGTAGATTTTTTTTTAAAGTTCTGCTACGTGAATAAGAAACATATAATAAATATAAAACGCGTGTTATCCCAATTTGCCTGCAAAAGTGGAAATACACTTTAAGCTACTCAGGTATAACTATTATTAGTAATTATTAGTATTGTACCGTGGGATGTAATACCGCACAGCAGTCAAATACGACACCTGTAACATGTACTTTTCTTTTTGTATCCAGTTCTCTATCGCATCTTCAGTATGACCCCAGACCTGAAGCCTATCAACAAGCCGGTGGTAATAGAAGTCCTGGTAGGTCCACTGCTCCTTGTTCTTATAGAATCCTGCATTCATTATATTATCTTATAACATATAATTTCTTGGCATGCAACCATTGTATACACATCACATATATTCCTTTCAGTTATATTTTATTATACCTTAAAAGAGAACTATAGGGTAAGTGTTTTTCTCCATAGATCTCTTTAGGGTCACGGGAGGACATATACTAACCTCCTCCTGTGACCCAAAGCTCAGTATTTAGCAGGCTATTGCCCACGATATACTGAGAGCGCTGCAGCCGGGACGGATCCCAATAATACTGTCTGGATTCACCCAGGTGCATGAGTGACAGCTGGCTCTCCCTATCTAGAGCCAGCTGTGCCTGCACTCTACCCTGTTCATTCCTCCACTCAGCGCTGGAGGATCGGAGAGAGGAGGGGAGGAATTCCTGCGGGGAGGGGTGACTGACAGTCACCGCCCTCTGCAGGGAGATGATCGGAAAGTGAGCAGATCTGCTGCATGTTTCCGCTCACTTCCCGATCGATAGAGCCGACCTGTGACAGCTTCTTTGTCACAGGTCGGCCCTAACTATGAGGATGAGTGGAAATCACTCACCTCATTGTTCTCCTTTAACTTCATACCAGGTTCTAAGAACTGGGCACCCACCTAAATGTAAAATGATAAGAAATACACCTTTGGAAAAGGCTCCGGATTATATGGAAATATTAAAATTGCAATTTTTTTTTAAAGGTATGGGCTCCGGTGGTTTTAATCCTCATTCGGCCTATCTGATCTAGTGCAGCCAGCAGAGTTTTAAAAGACTTCAACCCCATCCAGTATATAGTATCTTTACGGCAGATTAGTGAACAAGGATACAGGATGACAACCCCTGAGCTTACATCTAAGCCAATCAGCAATGGCACATGTCATATTTCAGTGGTCATTTTTTGGGGTATGTACTTAAAGTGACACGTATGTACTTAAAGTGCACGTAAAGATACCATTCAAGTACCTTAAAGGGGTTCTGAAGCCTCCCGTTTTTTGCCTATATCTACTGCTGACAAGCAGTAGATATAGGCAAAAAGTAAAAAAATACAAAAAACGCTTAAACAGCGGTTTAGACTGACCTTATTTTTGCTGCGAGAGTCCGGAACTGTTCGTGCGGCCGCAAAGGATCTTGGGGCGGGCGCATGCGCAGTTCGGATTCTCGGCCGGGAAACGAGCAGAGACGCAAGGTAAGCCTATGGACGCGTGCACCCGCCTGCAGACACCGCTGGATCGGAAGTGCCTGTAAGCAGAGAGGAGTCAGCGCTGGATCGGAGAGCCCCCGCACCGCTGGAGGGACAGATGAAAACATGGGGAAAGAAGAGGAAGATCGGATTAAGAGGCATCATTTAAGGTAAGTGCTGACATTAACATTGGGGCGGGGGGAGGGAAAAAAATTATCCTTTAATGTCACTTTAACAAAAATGTATCTTATTTGTGTATCACTCGGCTGTAGATCCTCCAATCATCTCTGAATTGGCACTGACACTGTCCTTCCTTCTGGAGGGGGGCTACTTTTCTTCCCCATGGTCCCTGTGTGTGATGTAATGTAGTCACCGCTCCAAGCTCACTCCTGTGATGGACTACAATCTCACTAATTTGTATACAACTCTCCGAAATCCAATAAATGACTTAAGCTGGCCATACACTAGTAGATTTTTGTACGAGCGTTTATTTGAAAACATTCGATAATCTCATCAGAAATTCAAAATTCCTTTTGATTTTACCATTCAATTTCGTTCATTTGAGAAAAATTCCCCTTAATATTCTTTTTTCACTATGGTCAAAAACCATTATTGATTTGAGCCCACTAGCTATTAGGAAATCTAACAAAGGAACAAAAATGTTTTTGTTTTTTTTCTACTGGTGTATTAATATTACATAGTTAGTTAGTATTTGAGGTTGAATAAAGACACAAGTTCATCAAGTCCAACCTATTGCGTGTATGCATATGGTTCTGCTGGTGTGTCCCAAACATGGAGTTTACCAAACATAAAAACACATTATCTGTTAGAATTTTGTTAGTTCAAGAAACATTTCCTCTTTTTTTTGTTACTATGGTTGAAAGTTAATTTCTTCAAACAAAATTCTAGTGGTGTATGAGCGGTGTTTCCCAAAGAAAAGCCACATTTAATATTAGAATTGCATTTGTTCGATAAAAACTTCCTTCAATATTTTCTGTCACTGCGGTTAAAAACAATCATCGATTTGACCCCATTAACTATAAAAAAAAAGACGAACAAACGTTCCAAAAACAAATATTATGAAACAAAAAATTGAGCAAACTTTCTGAAAATGTATTTTCTCAAATGAAATTCTACTGGTGTATGAATGAAGTTTCCTGAACAAGAATCCCATTCACTGCATTTTGTTTGTTTCAAATAAAAACCTTTCAATTTTTTGTGTCACTACATTTGAAAACGATCAACAATTTGACCCAATTAACTGATAGAAAATGGAACACATGATCCTGAAAACAAATTCTTTCCAACTAAATTCTACTGGTATATGGCCATCTTCATAGTTACATAGTTACATAGTATTTGAGGTTGAATAAAGACACAAATCCATCAAGTTCAACCTATTGCTTGTATGTATGGGATTCTGCATTGTATGAGTATCCCTTGTATGTTACGTTACAGTCTCTGAGGAAATTGTCAAAAATGCTTTTTGAATGATTCCACACTCCCAGATGATACCACTGCTTGTGGCAGTGAGTTCCAGACCCTAACTGCTCTAACTGAGAAGAAGCCCCTACTCCCCTTGTGGTTAAATCTTTTCTCCACCAATTTTAGGTGGTGGCCTCTAGTCCTTGTTATGGAGTTTACCGTAAAAAGTTTATTGGTGATGTTACTATCACCATTGAACATCTTGTACATCAAAATTAGACATGTGCACTGCCAAAAAAATGTGTTTAGTTTCGTTTCGTTTTAAATTCGGATTTGTGTTATTTCGTTTTTCGGGATTCGGGTGTGAAAGTCAATTCGGAATTCGGATTCGGACGAAATTCGGTAGCTGTAGGTCGAACTTTCGTTTCGTTTTCTGTTCTTATTCGTTTCTTATTCGTTTCTTATTCGTTTCGTTCGTTCGTGACATTTGAGGGGGAAAAAATATTTTTCTCCTTCTCTAATGTCACTTTTCTCCAACGAACGAAATAAGAATAAGAACCGAAAACGAAACGAACGTTCGAACTACCGCTACCGAATTTCGGAAATGGAAATTCGGATTCGTTTGCATTCGTTATGTCTGTAATTCGGAATTCGGATACATCCGAATGTCCGAATTTCGATTCGGAACGAAACGAATCGCACATGTCTAATCAAAATCATGTCCCCCCTTAATCTCCTCACTTCCAGCGTGAACATTTAAATTTAGTAGCCTTATCTCATAGCTTAGGTCCTCCAGCCCCTTAATTTGTTTTGTTGCCCTTCTCTGGACTCTCTCCAGCTCAAGGACATCCTTTCTGTGAATTGGTGACCAAAACTGGACTGCATACTCCAGATGAGGCTGAACAAGTGATCTATAAAGTGGCAAAATTATAGACTTGTCTCTACAGTACATTCCCTTTTTAATAGAAGACGGTACTCAGCTCGCTTTGTTTGCAGCAGCCTGGCATTGCAAGCTATTGTTCAATCTGTGGTCTACAATGACCCCCAAATCCTTTTCCATTTCTGACTTCCCTAGTGGAGTTCCCATTAATGTGTATTCCGCTTGCCTATTTTCAACCTCAAAGTGCATTACTTTACATTTATCAGCATTAAACCTCATCTGCCAAATAGTTGCCCACTCCCCTATTTTATCCAGGTCCCTCTGCAATGCTATAGTGTCTAAGTCCGTGTCTATCACCCTCCCGATTTTATTATCATCAGCAATCACGGAAACATTGCTATTCATGCCCTCCCCGATGTCGTTAATAAACAGGTAATCTCCCATTGGTTCCTATAGCTCATCCTTCTTAAATATTTGATCACGAGGACCAAATATATTCAGTCTTTGGGACTTTTCTTATAACGTTCATTTTGTTCTCCTTTCTCAGACTCCGGAAAATGTGATTGTAAAGAAGGATACCCTCCGGCAAATAAACATAAAAGGAATCATTTCCGCTAATTACAAAATAACGGATCTTGCAAGGTGAGAACTCGTGTTTCCTTAGCAAAGTCTCCTGAAGGCAATGGCGACTAAAATAAACAGGTCTTATATTTGGCATCAGCATTTACAAATAAATAAGCTAAGCTAAAGTTGAACAGCAAACAGATAAACACAAAGCTATAACATATTAATGGATAAGTCGCCAGAACCATGACATATATTCCTCTCCCTATGTGCTTTTCAGTTTGGGAATTTGGACCCTGTCGGCAAAGTTTGAAGACACCGCTCTGCATAACTTCACCACACATTTTGAAGTGAAAGAATACGGTAAGATTATATTTTTCATGCATTTTAATTAGGGCTGGGGAAATTAACGATTAAATCCTCGATTAATCGTTAAACTTTTTGATCGATTAAAATTCTTTTGATCGAAAATGAAAACACTCACCTCTCCGCCGGCTTCCGGGAGTCCCGTCGGAGATCCGGTGACGTCACGGACATCGACATCACCGGACTCCTCCTCCTTCCCTTCGTTAGACGACAGAGCCACTTGGGCCGGTGAGTTTACCGAAGAAGCACCAAGCTTCCGTCTTATCTTAAACTTATATATATGCACTATGTGGCTCTCCATTAAACACCCCCTCCCCCCCATCTCACTCCCAGAAATGTGCCCATTGAAATTTACTGATATTATGTTGCAATCAGGTCCTTATGGTCCTTATGTTGCAATGGAATGGATAGGTGCTGCTTCTTCAAATATTAAGCTAATACTTATGTTTAAATCACCCTTAGGGCTTTGCTGTTTTACTATACTATGTAAATACATTTGTAATCCAGGACGTTATTATTCTGAGTTGCCCCACTCAAGTGGCGGCAATATTGAGTGGGGCACGTGAGATTAATAACGTATTTATGGATTAGTGTGATCCTAATTAATTTTATTACTTCATTGCTGTGCTGTATGTGTATAGGCCAATGTAGTTGGATCTGTATGTGCGATATAATTAATCGAAATTAATCGATTAATCAATTTTAAAAAATTACGATTAATCGAACAGGAAAATTTTGATCGTTACCAGCCCTAATTTCAATAAATTATGTTTTATTAAATATGATCCAGACTGGAAAAAAAACAAAGAAAACTTAGTGCAGAACTTGTCAGTCCGAGTAGTCAAAGCTGCAACATTCCTATATCTGTGTCTTTTAACCACTTTCTGTCCAGAACAATTTCTTAATTTTTGCACACGCATGTTAAAATTCGAATTTTTGGCTGGAAAACAGCTCAAAGCCCCAGGACAATTATATATTTTCTGCAATCAGAGGCCCTGTAGAATAAAAAAAATGATGGTTGCAAATTTTTATGTTGCGCGATATTTGCGCAAAAAAGTTTAATATCAAATTAATATTTTTAGCAAAAAAAAAAGTAATTTTAGTACACACAAATATAATATAATACCCATTTTTTTAAATAAAATATGGGGTCATGTCAGATAAATTAATACCAAACATGTCAAGCCTTAAAATTGCGGCCACCCATGAAATGGCACAAAAGTACAGTACTCAAAATTTCCCACAGGTGATGAATTAAAAATCTTTACCGCTCATCAATTTAAAGTTAGCAGTGAGTGATGGCTCTACCGTGTTTCCCCGAAAGTAAGACCTACCCCGAAAATAAGACCTAGCACTATCTTCAGGGGTTTCTGTAATAAAAGACCTACCCCGAAAATAAGACCTAGTTCGGTGGTAGATCTCATATTACAGAAATCCCTGAAGATAGTGCTAGTCTCACTGTCTCTCTGATGAAGGATCCCTGCGTGTCTCTGAAACGTTAGTTACATGAGAGTATGTGACGTGATGTATTGAATAAATCTATCAATACGATATTGGATCTTCTCAGTGTGTGCCGGTGTAACACTCTTTGCTGGCGTTTGTGCACGGCCCATCCGCGTGGACATCTTGAGCACCACAAACACCCTTTTAGGAACTGTTTGGACTTTGCTTTTGTACGTAGGCGCACCCTACAGCGTTTGGGTTTGTATGTACTTGTACATGGCGGCGGTGGGGGGGGGATTTTTTTTATTTTTTATATATTACTTTTTTTCAGTCCACACTTACTTTATTGCTGTCACATAGGTGGATAACGAGCCCTCTATGTGATATCATAGAGGAAGTGACATGTCCTCTACATGGAGATATCAGGGTTCTATTTGACCCCTAATGCCACCTATGGACCCCAAAGAAGTTGATGAAGCACAGATCATGCTTCGCCAGCTTCTGTTCCCACCACAGCAGCTGGGGAAATGACAGCCTAAAAACGTAAGTAACAAAGTCCTCATCCCTTCCGCTTTCAGTATTAGGAGGGGAGACACTGGAAGTGTACTGATATCCCTGTGATCCAGCCATCGACACCCACCGTGATGGTCCTGGGCCCCACATGGGGGACAGCGGAGCTCGGGATAACCGGCACAAATGACTCAGCAGCACAATGAACACTTGTACATGACAGCCAAGCGCCAGGTCAGGATTGCACTGCCTATATACGTATTGTGGTCCTGAATTGATTAAAGTGGATTGATTCATGTTGGCAGTTTACTACCACTTTAATATTTCTACCACAGGTGGGGAGAAGGTTTCAATTGAGCTTCAAGGAGTATTAAAGTGCATGTGTAGCCAAAACTTTTGTTTGTTTTAGAATAGGGGAGGATTAGAATTCCTATCGGTATCTGTGTCCTTATTATGTAGATTGACCTTCTCTTTTTCTACTGGTGATCACTGTCACTAAAACCAAAAGTGATGGGAAATCCAAATGTTACAGTTGTTACCAGAACCAAATGTAAGGATAATTCTTCCAATAGGGACACAAGTGCCGGTGACAACAGTCTGAGGGTGGAAATACCCTTACTTTGTAGAAGTTCCCTCTCTCTCCCTGTTGTATCTCCAGAATTAGAAGTGAAGAGAAATCTCCCTAATAATACACCGGACATCCAAAAATAAACTGTCACAGGTTTTTATACTCCCTTACTCGATCCAAATCTACAAGAAATATGTCTGGGCTATACGTACACTTTAATAACAGACACATTTCATTGCACAGAAAGACATGTTTAAAACCAACTCTGTTGCTTAAAAAGAATGTTCCTGATAGTGAAGGATCTTCACACCCGACACAATTCCAGGTGTGATTGATGCCCGTATCCCCCACCATGTTCTGTGATACCTTCTGCCGACTTCTACATCAATATAGGATGCAGTATTGAAGGGTCGGAGAGAGACCACAGAACGTGGTGGCGGTTGTTGGCATCCTTCACGCTTCTAAGCGTGTCTTTCTATAATGGTAGTAATATACATTACACTTATTTGGTAGGTCATGTTTTTAAGGTTTGGCTTTTGATGGGGTTAGGAAGGTTTAGAACATTGGTCAGCCTCCACCTGAACAGGAAGTCAAAGACAGCAATAGTAAGATGAGAAAAGATAAGAAAAATCTTCAATTTAAAGTGTTAATCAATTTATCAGCATAATCCAAGTGAACTGAATAATTACAATGTGACATTACACTGTCAATTATATAAATAAAATGAATAAACAGGGGAAATATATATATATATATAGATAATATTGTTGGTTTTTTTTGCAGTTCTACCCAGTTTTGAGGTGATAATAAAAGCAGACAAGAAATTTTACTACATCAGTGATGAAGAATTCAGAGTTGAAATCCATGCAAAGTGAGTAAAAATGCAGAATGTGTGTTATATCTGTGTGTTCTAGTGATGGGGGATCTCTGTATGAGAGGTGTGTGTTCTAGTGATGGGTGATCTCTGTATTAGAGGTGTGTGTGTTCTAGTGATGGGTGATCTCTGTATGAGAGGTGTGTGTGTTCTAGTGATGGGTGATCTCTGTACAGGCAGTGTGTGTGTTCTAGTGATCGGTGATATTTGTACAGTGACTATTTTTTTTCTCTTATTTATAATTCTTCTTTTTCTCTTAGTTACCTGTATGGGAAGCCTTTGGATGGTGTGGCCTATGTGCTGTTCTCTGTGACCAGAGAGGGTGAAAAGAAAAGTCTACCAGACACTCTAGAAAGGATTACGGTATATATTCTTAATTACACATCTTTTAAATCCCAACTGAACCTTCAGTTTTTTTAGTGCATTACATTGCAGGTGCATCAAAACAAAAGGCGTGCAATGTCTTCCACTTTGTGCTTTCGAAAGCAGCCACACCCTAATGAAAAAGCCTACCCTCTGCCAGCAGCTGCAGAGTTGGACCCTTGCTCTGTGTGGAAAAGAAGCCGTCTCTCTCTAATCCACCACTTCTCTTATGAGTTAGACCTATAGCTCTGCAGTCACCAAAGCTGTCTCCCACTGCTGATTGGACAGTTCTGGATTTCACTCAGCAGGAGGCATGTTGGAGCCCTGCAGAGAGGCCACTCAAAACAGAGAACAATGTTGTATTCAACTTCTTTGATGAACAATTCTTCTGCATATTGTATGAGCACTAATGCATAAAAAACTAACCATGTATGCTTAGCTTTAGCTGAGCAGTGTCCAGGGCCAAAACAGGGGCGTGGGGGGGATCTGGGGATTCATGTGCCCTGGCTCCCACTTTAGGGGAGGTGCCACTGGTTAAGTGGATAGAGCACTTCTCCCTTGGGGGGGGGGGGAGCAACTGTGCCTTGGCCCTGGGTGACAAAATGTCTAGCTTCCCCACTGGCAGCGGCTCACATTTTATGGTCCATTTCTAAAATACAGACCACAGTATGGAGCCTGTGGTGCCCCATGGAGTGCTCTCTGCTTACTGCAGCAGAGATCTCCATAACTGAAAAAGAGCCGGTCATGTGATTGACAGCTCTCCTCCCAACTTTTTTTTTTTTTTTACAACTATATTCATTTTTATTGTGCTCCACCTGCTTCAGGCTCCCAAACTCAGCAGAATGCAATGCACATTTGTAAAATACAATTCTGTTCTTTATAAATGTGTGTAGCTCTTTTTTTTCTTAATTTAAAGCAGGGGTGTGTTCTCATAATTTATTCTTATTTGACCCTTTTATCCCAGCTGTACATCCAGGGCCATTGGTTGACAGTACAGGCACCTCAACATAACATGTCTGGTTATATGTTATAATTGCTCCCCAAGCCCTAATCCTTCAAAGCCTTCCATTCCCTGCACAGATGATGGCCAAGAAGTCTAAAGCAGCTGTATGCAAACTAGAATATATGGCCCCTTTATAGTAGGCAGTACCTGTATTGGCATACTTAGCACAGTTGACATTCGGGGTGGAATATTTTTTTTATCATCAAACCTCTTCCATTATTGTATACGTCAAAAATGTATGATAATATTTTGCTTATTTAAATCTTTCATATATAATCATGTTGGTGTAAAAAAATATGTAGTGCACTACATAAAATTCAAGGGTTTAACAGTGGCAAATGTAGTGCACTGTGGTAAAGCATAAGGATAATGGAGGTGCACGTTGATAGTGACAGGCCTAGAAGGGAATAGATTATAGTAAGATGATCCTCTAAACAGCAGGGACTTATAATATGTAGAAAGAAATGACATTCCTGACAATACATGGACCCCAACTGGGCAATTGAATACAATACACAGAAAACACTTAGCCAGGTGCTACAATCTGCAGGCAGAAAATAGGCAGTCATTACAAACTGGTAACAAATGCACAAACATGACAACAAGAGGGCAAAAAATAGGCAATTGTGACTATATGAGGGCAACAATCAGGCAATATTAACTATTTGGGGGCAACTAACTGACAACTGTGGCAATACACCAATAAAAACATGCAAATATTTGAGTAATCGTGTCCATATGTGGACATCGAATGGGCAACTGAGGCAATATTTGGCCATACATTCCTCCTCCCTCCAAAATGTCATAATTCATTTTCCACCCCACCCTCAGCAAAAATCCCCCTTCGCCATAAAAAAAACACCACCAGCAAAAATCCCTTCTTCCCAAGCAAATCCCAGACAAACAACAATCTCTGCAAAAATCCCATCTTCCTCAGCACCCCCCCAACAAAAACATCTTCCCCCTGAAAAGGGGTCTAAGATGCACCCCCCTTATTTTTTTACCCTCCTTCCACATACACACGTACCAGACCTCACGTACAGCTGAACCCAGCAGAGTGAAGGTAGACCTCCTAAGCATCTCCTCAGGTGCATCATGAGACATATCAGAGCCAAGGAGGAGCATGTTTCTGTATTAGTCAATGTGTTTCCGCTGAGGGGTTCTAGAGCACTCTGCCACTTGTAGGGGTAGTCTGACTATGCCACACTTGTAAAGATAAACCTCAAAAACAAACAGGGACAATACCCACAGGATTTCTCATGTCCCACCAGTTCTCACAATTGCGTTTCCCTTGTCACGCCCTAGGTCATGGCACAATTACTGTTACGTTATTATTCTTGAGGCCTCAGTATCCACGTGGTTCCAAGCCGACACTAGGGATCTTACTGTCTGTTGTGGTGGAGGCAAGAAGGGTAGGGTGGCAAGGTGAGTGTCATGGGTTTGGGAAGCCCTTTACAAAGGCACATTCTGTTTGTCCCAGAATAGGCAGGGTGACAGCATTCACAATGGAGAAAGCAAGGTCAAATCTCAAGAGGGCCTTATCCTGTTCATGAACTACTATTGGTCAATCATATTATCACCAGTGTAGATCAATTGTTAAATTGTATCTATTATTATTTAATGTGCATGAACACGACTTTATCTCAGCCAATCTAATTACAGATCGAGGATGGTGAAGGCGTGGCTGTTCTAAAACGAGTAAACCTAGTGAAGTACTTCCAGCAGGAGAGGGACATGCTTCAATGGAGGCTGAGTGTATCTGCCACGGTCATCACTGACTCAGGTAGGTGTTTCAACTCACTGTTGTCCATCCAAATCTGAAATATCAATTTTGGCATCGAGAAACATCTTTTGGATGTAAAAGACAGGCATGGAGCACAAGTAACGAAAAAGGAATTGTGCGGAGGGACAGCATGACAGGGAGAGAAGGGTTAACTGCATTGGGACAAAGAGGGTGGAAGGAGGAGTTGCTTCCCGGATTGGTGAAAATTGGAAAGGTGGGACTTCTTGGGAGGTGATCCTTGCAGAGTTGTAGGAAGTTTCCCATGAAGTAGTTGCAGCCAGACAAGAGTTTTTCCCTCCCGCCCTATTGTTTTGTTTTTGTCGTTTTCCTCTTTGTTTAGATTCTGGATGGTTGGCCTGTCACGGAAGCCCTTGGGTGGTTTGGGGTCCTTGAAGGTGGTCTGGATGCCTCAGGTTTATTGATAACGGTTGGGGACCCAACCGTAGGTGTGGTGTCCTTGAAGTGGTGGTCAATTGGTTTGATCACTTAGTTTTGGGCTGGAAGTGTCAGCGGTTAACAGATTTTTGTCACCGAGGTTGTGGTGTTAGCTGGAGGCCCATTATTAGTCATCTGAAGCTGCAGATACAAGTTATGGGGTTTCTTGGTACTGTATGTGCCTTCAAGATCCCGGAAACCAGTGGTAAACTGTATAACTGTGTTCATTTGTTCAGGATAAAATTTTGGTTATTTTTGTATTTAATTTTGTATTTAATTTTGTATTTAATTTTGATATTTCATTAAAGAAAACAAGTGGCTGCTGTGGCCCTTTGAACTCTATACAAGTCTGGTGTGATTTATTTGGTGAAGTGCGTGTTGGGTGGGGGTCACAGCATGTTAAGTGGTGACTTGTGTTAAATGGAATTCCTCTGAAATACCCTTTTCATGCTAGAAATGCTTTCTGGAAAATATATGGAAGTGGAGTTGTCCAAACAGAGAGAGAATTCACCATTTTTACATGGCGGGCTTTAGGTGAATGCCCTATCTACTAAGTAATAAGTGTCATACATCTTAAATATACATTTTTAAAGAGAGCTTGTCACTAGACCATTTACTTCAACAACAATCTTCTTGTAAAATGTTATGTACATTTAAGATATTGTATGCATGTTATTTACCTGTAAAAGCCCCCATTATGTAGACATCCAAAAGGCCTGAGACTACTGCTGGGTGCCGCCACCTTGGATGTGATGTTAACAGCCCCAGCAGACTCAGAGCTGTCACTCAAGTCACATTCTTTTGTATTCTGTATACAAGAAAATCTGTTTGAATCCATAGTATTCTCTTTAGCTCCTCTTCATGACAGCTACACAAAACAGTCGGCAAGTGACAACACTTGTATAAAACAACAAGTTGGGAGACGGTTATAATAATAGGTATGTGTTTAAATTGCAGGTAGTGATATGGTGGAAACCGAACTTACCGACATCCACATGGTGACTTCCCCGTACAAAGTTCTCTACACAAAAACCTCCAAATTTTTCAAACCCGGGATGCCCATGGATCTAACGGTGAGAATATCTTGAATGTTTGGTGTATATTTTGTATTAATACAAGTTTCAGTCAGCCAACAGGAGCTGCAAAGCAATCTGTTCTGCTTTACTGTCTCATTAGTTAATTCTTAGTGCTTTGGAAAACCTTTGTCATGTATCAAAGTTTTTTTGTGAAAAAAATCTTGTCTGTAACTATCATAATAGATGGGTAGTGAACACTTTACAAACCTTATTAAAAAAAAAAACATTAAAGTCCTTTAAAATCTGTCGGTGTCTAAATTACTATTGGTCTTGTATTGTCTTGTATTACTTATGGCAAATTTTACGTCGAGGTAGCTTTTTTTTTTTCTTCTGGTGATGGCACAATATCACTGCTGAGATTGGTTATGTAGAAATATCTGTGTTGAGACTGTTGTGTTTCAGTATATCTATCATCTATCCTAGGCATTTGTCACCAACCCAGATGGGTCTCCAGCACACCGTGTCCCTGTGGTAGCAGAACCAGGAACAGTGAGAGGGACATCACTGGAAGACGGAACTGTCCGGCTGACCATCAATACCCGCGCAGATATAAGCTCGCTTCCAATAACTGTAAGAATTATATTTTTTATACATCGGTTTTTGAGAAGTAGATTCAGAACATAATAATGAAGTCATGTATGATATGTATGGAGTTACCATCTTTTAGAAAAACTGTCAAGCAGCAGAGTGCTTATATAATAGCAGTTACCATTGAAGATTAAACTTCAGATTGCACACAGAAGACTAAAACTACCTACCCAGAACTTTTTCAGCCTCATTCATAAAACACACGACCATCCCGCTGCTTTACATCACTTTTTTACTGCAAAGCTGGTGTTTTGTGAATGCCAACTGCTGAGACATGTGAAAGCCATGGCCATTCTTAGTCCCGCCCACTGCATTTTACCTATGTAGTATTGTACCATGTTAGCCATCATTTAATGAAGAATGTTTGGACTTTGAGGCCAGGTTTACACTAGGGCGATTTGTAAACTGCACGGCAATTGTGAATGAAATCTGCACGGTCACGGAATCGCACACCACTGCTGATCACGCTGGCGGTACCATTCTTTTCTAATGGCACCCCAGTTGCGGTAGGCAGGCAGATCGCGTGGTTTCCTGCCGCAATCCCGCCCGTGCAATCGTGCACGAACACGGCTGGAAAAAACGTGCAGTGCGTGTGGCGAAAAATGATACATGTACCGTTTTCTCAGCGATTTCTGCACAGATATACCCCCTTTGATAATCAATGGGCCACGCGGCAATCGCTGTGTGCATACACAAGTCCTGTGATCGCCTAAGTGTGCTCCTGGCCTAATTGATAACCTTTACTGCCTAACTTAAAGGAGAACTATGAGGCGAAAATCACTCAGCCTCATAGTTCGAGCCGAGGTGTGACAATTAAACTGTCACACATCGGCTCAATAGATCGGGACTGTCACTCACTGCTCCCTGCTGGGATTCCCCCCCTCCCTGTCCGATCCTCCAGCGCTGATATATACTGAGCTTTGGGTCACGGGAGGACATTAGCATTGACAAATACTAGCACACATAAAATTAAAAAGAAACACATACCGAATTCACGAAAATTACTGCAGCTAGATTTTTTAAAAAAGGGGAGGGGGAGATGGTGCATTAAAGGAGAACTATGAGGTAAGTGCTTTTCACTCACCTCATAGTTCTAGCCGACCAATGAGACTGTCACAGGTCGGCTCAGTAGATCGGGAGGTGAGCGAACACATACCGGCGTTCGCTCACCTCACGATCCTGTCATGGCTCTCTGCCGTGACAGGGGAGGGTCTGGATTCCCCCCTCCCCGCTCCGATCCGCCAGCGCTGACTGGCGGAATGGACGGGGGAGGGGGCGGATAAAGCTGGCTCTGCCTCTAGATAGGCAGAACCTGCTGTCAGTCACGCAGCTGGGTGGATCCCGGCATAATTGTCGGGATCCACTTCAGCTGCGGCGCCTCAGTATACCGCGAGCAGCAGCTCGCTGTATATTGCGGCGTCTCAGTATACCGAGAGCTACAGCTCGCGTTATACTGAGCCCAGGGTGACGGGAGGACGCTAGTTTGTGTCCTCCCGTTACCCTTAGGAGAACTATGGGGAAAAGCACTGACCCCATAGTTCTCCTTTAAGCAATTAAGTTATCAAAGCTTATAGTGAATTATAGGAGTTACATCTTAAAAAATGCATTAAAATACCTGTATCTTATATGTGTGTATAACTTGGCTGTAGGTCCTCAAATCATCTCTAAATTGGTGCTGACACTCTCCTTCCTTCTGGAGGGTGACTACTTTTTTCATAGTCATTCTAGGGTGGCCAGACTTCCATGTACACATTTTACCACTTTAAATGACCACGTTTTGGCTGCCCATGCTTCATGTTTGTTGCTATGATGATTGAGGACAGAAGGAGCAAAGTGATGCCCCCAGACACTGACAACATTGCTTGTAAAACAATAGTTATTGGATCAGGTTTTCTCCCTAGTATGGTCACACAATGGTCATATCCGTGTTTAGTAGGTATGGGGTGATCACCTGATCCAGACAAAAATGGCCAGATTGGGTGATTGTAATCTCGTATTTATCAGCTTTAGATTTTATAGACCTAAAGTGAAAAGTTCTTGCTTCCTGTTGTGTCTCTGGAACAGGAAATGAGGGGATATCTTTGTAATGAAATGTAGAGCTCACTCCCGAAGGAGCCGTTGAATGCCCAGTTCCTCTCTAGTCTGTCTAGGGTATGATCTTAAGCTGCCCACCCATTAGCATCAACCGCCCTTCTTCTAGTGCCCACAATAGCTGATGTCCACTCCAGTAGTAAAATGCAGAATAACTTTTATTGAACATCTTCACTGGGGAGAGAGGGTACAGGGATTCTAAGCTTCCAGGGTGTAACATACTTTGACTCCAGACTCACCAGACCTGGTTGGCCTATCAGTGTAGATCCACTTGGGAGACATCAGATAGCAACTGAAGTAGCAGATAAGCAAGGATGAATATAGATCCTCAACAGGAAAAACAACGGCCATACTCCTGAAGTCCTTCGGTTCCAGGAAACTTCAAGAGCCATCATTGGTCCTGGGTCTCTTCCTCCGACAGCAACACAGACCTCCTCTATGTTGGAGGCCTCAGAGAAACATTTCCCGCACACCAGCCTATGCCCACCCCCAGGCCTTAGGCCTAGCCCGGGGGGCAGACTGAACAGCACCCAGCCCTCATCCATGGCTGGTCCCGGCTAGTCTGAGCACATGGCAAATCCCTCCAGTAAATGTACCCTATCCAAGCATGCACCACTGGTTGAGAGAAACCCAGTGATTGGCTGCTGTACTGTACATACACTATAGCATCTCTCATTGGCCATTCCACAATATGACAGAGTCACACTCCGCCCAGGGGGTGCAGGCAATGCCAGACACCTGGAATTAACCAGATAATTGCCACTATAAATGCAGCTCTACTACAGCCCTGGCTATCACTAAATGTCTAGTAGCCACATCACAGAAGGTGATGGGGGCTACAGAAACAAGGACAGCAAAAGAAGGGTATGGTCATAGTTACACTTTAAGTTTTTGTTTCCAATTGATCTGTAGCTTTTATTTTACTTGGAATCCTTGTATGCTCTTTTCAATAGGTTTATATTGATGGTTTGTATTTTTTCAATTGTAGGTAACAACAGCAGATCCAATGTTATTACCTAACCAACAAGCAAATGCTCCTATGACAGCCACTGCATACCAACCACGTGGTGGCAATTTTCTGCATCTCGGCATTCGCGGTGGGGAACTGAAAATTGGTGAAAACGCTGCTATCAACTTCATTATCAGGAACACTGACCCAGGAGTTCAGAACCAGATCACCCACTTTAATTACATAGTAAGGAGTCTGTCATGTAAAATACTGGATTGAAACTGCTATGATAAGTACAGAAGTGGCTTCTTACCTCTCACAGATGATGCCTTATTTTGCTCTTGTCTACAGAAGGATGGTGATATCCTTCTTCAGGCATCTTCCAGGGTTACCAACTAGTTCCTGGACTGAAATGCTGATTCATAAATGAAACAAGCATGCAAATCCTTGTGCTGCAGCGTTCTTGGCTTTGTTCATAAAATGTCTGACTTAGATGATCCTCTGCTGCTGCCTCCCACCTTGTGGCTTGCTACAAAGTTACAAGGCACAATCTGATCAATGAGGGAGAGACGACTGAGATTATGTTTCCTTTTGCCTGCAGCAGACTGATGACATCATCTCAGCCTAGGCAACGTCACTGGACTGGAGCTTAAGGACTGACATTTACTGATAAATGGTGGATCTTTTTTCTAAAGTTGTACTTTTACTGTACATTGTGACATTTTGGCAATTTGTTAAGGTATTAAAAGGTCCACCTTAAAGAAGAACTCTTATTAAACATGCTCGTTTTGGTCTAGGCTCTAATATAAAAATTATATACTCTGTCTGGCTGCAAGACTGGTCCCATTGGCCTAATTTCCCCTGGCCCCCGGTGGTCTAAGGACCCGTGATGTCATCATGTCCATTCACTTGCATTGGACGTGAGGACGCTGAGGGGCATTCCACAGCTGGAGTGGAGGGCGAGAGAGGTGAGCGGTCGCCGCCACAGGACTGAGGATCGGGTGAGTATCTTTTTTATTTTAGATCCTAGAGCAAAACGAGCACTTAACCCTGGTAGTGTGGGGGTAGCCCCACAGCAAGGGTTAATCTTTAATGTGCTTGGAGTTCTTCTTTAAATCCCAGCTGCAGCCAAACCTTTTTTAAATAGAAGGCTTAGAAACTAAGTCAAGATTAATTGTTGTCTGTGCTTCACTGGGGAGATTGTCTATCGCTTTTTGTTTATCTGATGGGTGTCAGTCAGAACAGGAAGTGAGAGGAAATCTCACCAACGGGGACATAGGATGCAACAAAATGCATTTTTTATAGTAGAGTGGGAAAGTATTAGGTCTTGATTACCGTAATTAAGTGAACATGTTTACTTGGTGAACCAACAGCAAGAATGAAGAGCAAGCACTTAACACCTCACCTCAGTGCTAGCAAAAATAAAAAGCAAGCACCTAGAGCTTTAATCAAAAAATCAACATATCCCTTTTTAGAGAGATCCCACCATCAAGCTCATAATGCAACTCTGTAGTCATATATAATAGGCAATAATATTTATATATTAAAAATATATATATATATATATCAAGACAAACATGAATGTATCATATTAAAACCTGTGAACTATGTGTGTTGCACATTCACAAACCTCGGCTAACCATATATGGAAACAAATGTAATACGGACTCCTCAAACATCTGAATCCAATAGAAATCCAGCTTTATAGCAGATATGGGTGGAAGAAATGTATCTCCACAGACTCCCAGTATGGTATGGAGGAGTCATTCAAACACATCCTCTGTGGTAGAATCAACTCTGTGTATTCACACACAAATGAGCCAGCAGACTCATGATATCTTGATAATCCAACCGTTAGAGTTCAGCTTATATCACAACTTCATAAGTGTGAATCAAATGAAAGTAGAATGATTACCGGTAAGTGCTGGATGAAATATAGCAACGGGCACCGACCTTATTGCTGAAGTGATGGATCCCAGCAGGGATGTTCTCAGTAAGTTCCGAATGGCATGTTCGACCGTACAGATAGTTTAGAGTATAATTATACTCATGTAGCGCTACCAATACCGATGTTTCCTTAAGTAATTTCAGGAAAATATCAAGGGGTTTCCAGATATCAGTAAGCATCTGTGATTTAAATCAATGATATCATGGTAAAGTAACTCATGAGTGTGGAATAGATTCATGTGTAAGGCATGTCCACAAGCCGAGGTAAGAGGCAGATCACCACGCTATTCCTTGACCTAGAGCGTGACCTCACTATTGGTCGAAAGTTATAATGGTAGGTCTCACAAACCTACAGTGGGGTCCATCAAGTAGGGGTAGAGCCCAAGTGTGACTTTAGTAGCTGAAGCCCCTATTGGATTAGTTAGGTTGCCTGGGTTTCAGGGATCTCAAAGATACTCTATACGTTTTAGGTGCCAGTTCTGCTATCTTGCTGGTTGCTTATGAGCTTTTATCTATATACGGCCTTCGTTTAAAATTCCTGTATGGATTGACAAAAAAAAGATGTAATTTAAAAATGGATGGTTGGATGGTCAGTCTACCAAGAATTAATAGGTCAGCTGAGGTTGCTGCCTTCTTGAAGAAGAGCTTCTTCAACTTATGAATGAATTGTCAGAGGACCAGAGGTAGCACAACCTTTAGGCTAGCCCCAATATTCATACGGTTGTCCTAAGGTGGGAATTCTTTTACAAACTATTTTCTGTATGGTATGTAGTGCCAGACTATGAAAATATTGGTTCCAAGCATCTACTTTATTTCTTATGTTTAATTTGTTTTCCAATGTAGGATTTTGAATTTGAATAATGAGATACTTGATGTGTTTCTTCATCCTGCAGATCCTAAACAAAGGTAGAATAATGACAACTGGAAGACAAGCCAGATTACCAGGCCAATCCCTTGTGACTTTGCTGATGCCAATAACACCAGAATTCATCCCATCCTTCCGCATAGTGGCCTATTATGTGGTCACAACTGGAGCAGGCCGCGAGGTCGTAGCTGACTCTGTCTGGGTAGATGTGGCAGATACCTGCATGGGAACGGTAAGAAAATGCTAGAAAGCAATTAGAAATCATGTTGGTTTGGCACAACCATCACTATCGGTCGAAAGCTATAATGGTAGGTCTCATGATTATAAAATGATTCTTCTGTAAATGTTTTCAGCATTAGACATTGTACATTTGTGTTGCCAAAGTATATTTGCCAGTTGCCTCTCTAAACCCAAGTTAAGCCTTTAGACCCACCCTAACCCCAAATCCAAAATGCTGTACTCTATGGTCCCCCCTCAACCTAACCACTGAACCATCATATTCTCAAACAATTCATCCCCACACAGCTACCACCTTATGTATCACTGGCCCCTCCCTTTTAGATTGTAAACCCTTAGGGGCAGGGACCTCCTTACCATCTTGTCTTGAATTGTATTGTGATTGCAATGTCTTCCTTATATTGTAAAGCGCTGCGCAAACTGTTCCTTGTGGGAACAGTTGGGGAAAGCCTTTCTGTGAGCAAAGCCAGCTCATTAAAACATGGTTTGACCACTTTGATGTTGAGAAGACAATGTAGCTTGCACAGACCCCTTTTAACCCTACTGGACAATTTTAGGATGGATTAGAACACTGATTGTGAGCCAAGTCTTTTTATCCAACATCAGTACTAGACCTCACACCTTTTGGCTGAGTGACAGCAAATCCCTACAGACAGACTCCAAAATCCTCTGAAAAGCCTTCCAGGGCTGAGGGCGGTGGTAAGGGGCAACTCCATATTAATAGCCATGTGGCAATTGTTTTTAGGGTAATTCCTTAATTTAGTGAAGCTAAATCTAAACTCAGAATCAAAATCCCATCCAAGCTTTCAAAATGTATGTACAATTCTTCAGGTTAATTACCAAGTATCAGCAAAATAATACCTGGTGATCCTGCCATGAAGGTCCTTGTTCAGGTACTTTCTGTTATGGGTCGACAACAGTCTCCCAGTTGTGCTTCTGTGTTGTCAGCCAGTCACATGCACCCCTGATGGAGACTATAAGCAGCAGTGCTAACACAATAGAGGGCATGTAGACAGAATGTGGCTAAAAAAGGCCTGGGGGAGATCAGCAGCAGTGAGAAGCAAATAAACATAAAAAATGTGCAAACTATATTTCATTCAAAAAAACAAATGACAATTGTTTATAATACACAGTGCTTTAGTCATACAATTAGGGTTTTGATTTACTTTAACATATTATTGAATGTGTGATAACTGGATGCTTATGGTGAGTTTACTGCAATACTGATAAAATGTGGTCTGTGTCTCACAGCTGACGCTTTCAGGTGACAGGGACCGGGACAATGCAGTTCAACAACCTGGAGCTTCTATAAAACTTAAGCTGAAAGCTGACCACTTGGCCAGTGTGGGGTTGGTAGCTGTGGATAAAGGTGTTTACGTGCTGAATAGCAAGGAGAAGATCTCCCAGACCAAGGTAAGCTGATGAATGTAGTAGAAGGCAAATGTATTTGTTAAGATAGTCAAAATGTAAATTGCAGATTTTGTACATGATAAATGAAATCTTTCTACAACTATAATGGTGGCTATTATTGTGATAATGAATCACAATGCTTATAATTATGTTGATGAGGAGGAGGAGAATAACACGATGATGGTGATAAAGATGGTAATGATGGTGATACTGATGACACAAGAGATTAGGAGAAAGGGAGGGATGACTGAGGTGTAGCATAATTGCCGATGAGCAAAAGAAGAAAAAATGGGTGACTGGATGAAGATGATGGTTATTGATGGTAGTTGTGGAGTTCAAACAGATGATATTGTATTCATGACATAGAAGATGTAAGTGATGAAAGTGAAGATGAGGAGGGTCATGATAGATGTAATGGTGCTGATGACAATTGCTAATGATAAAGAAGAAAGAAGAATAAGAAGGAGAAGAAGAAGGAGAAAAAGAAGGAGAAGGAGGAAGGGGATTATAATGGTGATGATGTTGATGTAGAGGAGGAAGAAAAACTTGTTAAGGATAAATTATGGCTTATGGTGATGGTGGTTTGATGATGAAGACTTTTGGGCTAGTGTATTTTCTAGGGAAGGTATCAAAAAAAGATGATGCTTCTTATGAGGAGTTTGATGGGTTAGTGGTGGTTATGAGGATGAGGGTGAGAATGATGGTAAAGATGATGAAGAGATTAATAGGGGCAATTGAGGTAACAAAGATGAGTGTGATGGTGCTGGTAGGGATGATGAAGATTTTGATTATAGTGGTAATTATGTGAATGAGAATGATCATAAATATGCTGCAGTTAAAGGGTTCAATGATGGTGGTGATGATGAATTTAGTAATAAGGGTGATACAGGTGATCATGTTGAAGCCAATGAACAGTTTGATGTTGATAGAAATGGTGGTGATGAAGGTGATGGTAGCAAGGGTGGTAATGAGGATGAGGGTAATGATAAAGTTGATAGTAATGTGTAAAAAGAGTTAGGTGGTTATGGTAGTAGAGATGAGGGTGATTAAGGTAATAATAATGCTGATGTAGAGTTAGATGATGATGATGTTGGTAGGTGTGGAAAAGAGGATGAAGGTGATGATAACGTATATGATGATGCTGAAAAAGAGTTAGCTGATGGTAGTAGTGATGATAATAGAGGTGAGGATGATGATTATAATGAAGAGTATGATGATGATGATGGTGTTAGCAGCAATGAGAAGGATGGTGATGATAGTGATGATAAAGAGCTTGATGGGGCAATGGTGGTGGTGGTGGTGATGATGAAAGTGATTAAGTGTTTGATGATAATAGTGGTAGTGCTGTGGATGAAGGTGATGATGTTAGAGATGATAAAGTGTTTGATGGTGGTAGTGATGACGAGGATGAAGATAATGATAATGGTAGGGATGATGAAGAGTTTGTTTGTGGGATTAGTTTTGGTGATGATGATAAGGTTAATGATGATGTTAGTGATAATCAGATGGGGATGATACAGATAAAGATGAATCAGTGAAGGTGATTGGGTAGAGATGATAAACAAATATACAACTTCCTTTTTATTCTGAATCTTCTCACAAGCAAGGTTCACCATGACATATGATCCTTACAAAAATATTTACAAAAGGCTCACACATACCAAAGGTGGTTTGGAGAGTATGATTATGAAGAAGATAAGAATGTTACCGATACTGATGATGAAAATGGTAATAAACTGGATATGAATGGTGATGAAAAAAGTGGTGATGAAAGGCAATAATGATGACTATTAAAAGAGAACTATGGGGTTAGGGCTTTTCCGCATAGTTATCCTTAGGGTAACGGGAGGACACAAACTAGCGTCCTCCCGTCACCCCAAGCTCAGGAAACCGCGAGCTAAGGCTCGCGGTATACTGAGACACCGCAGCTGAAGCAGATCCCGACAATTATGTCTGGATCTGCCCAGCTGCGTGACTGACAGCTGGCTCTGCCTATCTAGAGGCAGAGCTAGCTGGCCCCGCCCCCTCCCCCATCCGTTCCGCCAGTCAGTGCTGGAGGATCGGAGCGGGGAGGGGGAAATCCAGCCCCTCCCCTGTCACAGCAGAGAGCCGTGACAGGATCGAGAAGTGAGCGAACGCCGGTATGTGTTCGCTCACTTCCCGATCTACTGAGCCGACCTGTGACAGTCTTATTGTCACAGGTCGGCTAGAACTATGAGGTGAGTGAAAAGCACTCACCTCATATTTCTCCTTTAAAATGAGAAAGGTATATGATAAGCATGATGATGATGATGGAAACAGTGATGATGAAATGATCTGGACAATAGTAACAACTTGCTAATGATGATGACTTAGTTTGTGATGATCACATCCTGATATTGATAAACACTCATTTTGTATCTTCCCTTCTAGGTGTGGGAATCAGTAGAAAAATACGACACTGGCTGCACTGCGGGAGGTGGTGCTGATGCTGCAGGAGTGTTTTATGATGCTGGACTGGCACTAGGCAATGCTTTCCATGGTTCCACCACCCAGAGATCAGGTGAAGATGATACATTATTTGATTATTTTAAAAACACAACATATCAATGTTCTGATAAAAGCTAATAATCTGATTATGCTTTTCCCAGCCACCTCTGCAAAAATATCAATATAATGTGTTACCTATACCAAAGAGACGTTCTGTTTGTAGAATCACTGCCTGCAGCCTGCTGACTCTGAGTATATCCTGCTGATCTGGCTCAATGCAAAACAGGTCTATTGTCTCCAAACAGCTCCCATCAGTGGTGTCAATGATGGGTGCAGACACACAGCCAGGCCATGATGCTGGAAACTAGGTTTCTCCATCAACCACTGGAGGGCACAACACTCTAGTTCATGAAATTAGTGAACATTGAAAGTGCAGTTATACTTAAAGGCTCCAAAGTAACTTAAAATGCATTTGAATTCTCTCTTCTGCTATTTTTGTCAGTAAACTTTTGAGTTATTCTCGTGAAGATTGCCAGAATTTTTTAATTGTGACTAACATCGTTGTTCATTGCTGTGACCTACTGGATTTTTACATTGTTATATTATGTGGACATCTTCATGTTTTCGCTCAACTCTGTGCTTGTCTTCTTTGCCACTGGTCTAGGATCTTGCCTCTTGAGCTCCCCATTGGTTGTAACTGATGGGTGGAGCAAACCTAATGTGGGTTAAAGAGCAACCAATATGCTTGGTACCAATACAGACCAGAACCATGTGGAACGTTTTGATATTTTCCATGTAGTGCCACCAAAGTAAGGCTTGGTGTGCACCAAAATACAGTATGGAAATGTCCTAAATAAGAGTTTATCATTGCAAGAGTGATTTATTTTATATTCTATAGGATCAGGATTGTGCCTGTTTAGAATAAGGTTTTAGGATTAGGTTCAGTGGCGTTGGCTGAAATGAGGGGTGGTGGGTGCTTCCATAGGGGCATAGGGTAACAGTAGGGTGGGTCATATAGTCAGTGTGGAGGGAAGGGAAGGGAAGCTTGCACACACTTGGTGAGAGAGAGGGGTGCTTGTGCAGTCATGAGGTGAAGATGGACCTACAGGCGAGATAGTGGTAGTGTAGGAACATTGATGAAAGGAAGGGTAAAGGGAGTAGTGGAGAGACGGGGGTTGGTAAGAGCAGAAATGAGTACAGGTGTAATAGGGGGTTCAGACAAAAAGCAGCCCCCCCACCATGTGAGCCAGACCCCCACAACACCCCACAGTGGCAATAACAGACTACCTAAGAGCTGTTTCAGTCATCTCTACTGCTGTTTCAGTCATCTCCTCAGCCTGCTTGGTCTCTGAGCCCTGCCTACACTGTGTAATCTGAAAGGGCGAGGAAGAGCCAGAGGAGCAGAAAAGCTCTCAGGCTTTCTATTTGGCATGGTAGGCATGGAGAGGGGTGGGCTCTGTGTGGGGAGGGAGCACTACATTGAATCATCCAAGCTGCCTGACAGTTATATCAGTAGTGGAATGGAGGTGTGTGTCCAAGGAGAGAGCAGAGTGCATGAGGGATATTCCTACCTCTGAATGGTTGACCACGTGGAGCAGCCAGACTTCATAGCACAGCAGCGGTGGTGCTCAGAAGCACACTACTGTTGTGCTCCTCTCAGCCTCCTGCAGCCTCCCTCCTCCAAGCAAGTGGCAAGAGAGAGTACAGTATCTTTAGGTACTGGTAGGGGCAGAGTGAGAATCCATGGGAGGAAGGCTACAAAGGGCTTGTGGAAGCAGAAAGAAAATCAGATTAGAGGGAATGACTGATCAGGGGTTGAACTGGAATTTTCTAACAGAGGGGTGGGGAGTGAAAGGACAAGCAGAAATCACTATTGGAGGCAGAATCCCCCAGTGGCAAAACAAAATTCTTACTATGGCAATATGCTCAAAGGGTAAAATTGCATATTGCTGTGCTGAGAAAATGAAACTCTAACTTGGCCTTTAGATTAATAAGGATTAAGCATACAGGCTTCCCCCATGTTTTTCAATAGGTTGAGACAGGGAAGCTGGGGTCTCCTGGCCACCTGAGTTACAGCCACTAGATCAGAGAGTTACGGCTAGCAGAGGTACTGACAACACAGAGCGTAGCAATCTGTGATAAAGCATCAAACTTAGGATAAGACTCCTGTGTCCTTCTGTATTTTCTGGCATGGACTTTTAACCCTTTTACCTATTTTTTTCCCCCACAGAATCTTTGTGTCAAGCAAAATTGAAGCGCAGACGACGTGACACAGCAGCATTAATTCAAACAAAGAACACTAAAGGTAAAACTTACCAGAAAAAAACAGTATTTCCACTTTTTCAGCCAAACTGGAATAACACCTACTTTATATTCGTTATATGTTACCATTCACATTGCCTTTGTTTTTTAAAATTTAAAAATTGCTGCTTTCAATTTTATGTGTTCTTTACGCACCTAAAAATTCTACCTACTGTAGCTTCCCCCCATGTAATGATTTTGTTGGGATTGTGCAAAGCTGCGTATATGACAATGAACCCTGTCTATACTCATTATTAGTTATAAACTAGAATTGAACACTGTCTGTTCTAACAGAGGGTTAAATAATTAGGAGCTTGGCCTCTGCATCGTATGTTAATTAGAGGAAAATCAACTTGTTACCACCTTGGCTAGGGACAAACTCGCTTTCAAATTTTTTCAGAGTAGCTTGTAATTTGCCCAAAGTCCTGCTCCAAAGAAACATCTAAAAGGTGTCTATATATATATTAATTAATTAATTATAATTCTTTTTATTTTAGGTATGCTATGTTAATAGGAACCAGGGGTATAACTACAAATCATGGGGGCCCATAGCAAAATTTTGGGACCCCCTTCCTCAGCTAACTCTCTCTGTAGCGGCTGACTGTGTCATGTACCAAGGACAGGCAGCAGGACTACTAAGGAGCAGGGCTGGGGGTAAAGAGTTAAAGAAGTAATAATAATCATAATCATAATGACATGTTATATTGTGGTAAGATGATTAATGCTCCGGCACGTACTTACTCTTCAAACCTAATACCAACTTCTTTAGAACTCTAGTTTCATTAAACAATTTTGGTAGAACCACAAACCTCAACTTTCCTATAAGGTTTTAACAGAGGTGAGCCTCTGGGATTTGTGACTGCATTAGGCATACGGGGTTAATTTAAGTTTGTAGCAGAAGTTCAGAGGGCAGTAAATCTACACTGCTAAGACAGATAAGCAAATGCTTCTTACTGCACAATGGGGATCTATGACTAGAGAGCCTGAAGTCTGCCTTCAGCCCTTCTATACTGGAGTTTAGTTTTCCTAATCAACCCACCCAATGGGGCACCCTCCTACCCCAAGGCCTGTGTGAGTGTAGGGAATGATGGGATCAACCCCAACAAGGGTCATTCACAATGTATTGATGCAGAGAGCTGCATGGACGTCCTCAAAACAGCATCATCAGAGGACTGCCCACAGCTCACAGGGAAGAAGTAAAGAAGAAGATGACATCACATGACCGGCTTAAAGAGTTGGGCTTTAATATTTAGTGTTTAGTGTAATGTGTTTTTTTCCTGTCTGTTCTTGCAGCATCCAACTATGAAGGTCTTGAGAAGACGTGCTGTGAGGATGGCATGAGAGACTTGCCCATGAAGGTCAGCTGCGAGAGCCGTGCTACAAATATTGCAGTTGGAGAAAAGTGTGTTGTTGCCTTCCTGGACTGCTGCAGACACATTGAGAAGATAAAAGAAGCAGAGGACACAAAGGACGAGTTTGGAAGGAGTAAGTACACACAAAATAGAGAAAAATATGCTTACTGTTGTGGTGTGTTGTGCTATTGCCTTAAAGCCCAATGGACTCTTTTTTTCTTTGTGTAGCCCGGTACCTTAGTATGTTATTATTTTTACTAGATGTTGCCTATTTTCTATGTATAAATGAGCTTTCTGCCCTCTTACTTTGGAGCTCTGTGCTGGCAGAGCTGAGTAATTAGCACACCACTCATACCAAGCTTCCTTAGGATGGGGGCGTGTCTGATCTGGACTGTTAAACTGCTAAGGACAAGTGAACCTATGAAAACAAAGGCCATTAGTACAATGTCTCTCTGGCTAAATGTTTATTTCTGTGACTGACTTCAGTTTTGCTTTTGTTTCAGTAAAGCACATTATATACACACACATATATATATATATAGTAAAACTTGAGAATCCTATTTTGAAAAGTTTTTTCTCTTTTCTGGGTGAAGTGAGGTAATGTTTAATATATAATTGTCTGCTACCTCAACAAGCTGATACCTCTGCTTCTGTTTGTAACAGCCGGGGCACTAACTGGATCTCCTGGCTTCTCTTCCTTTGATTTCAGGGCTGGATTTACCATTAGGCACAGAATCACATCTATAGGCAGCAGAGGAAAAAATGCGTCTTTTCTTTGTACACATAATTTCTTTTGTTTTGCTATGAACAGTAGAAATACATTCTACTAATATGCACCATATGGTCAAATTTTTGTGGGCACCAGATCATCACATCTGTTTATTTGTCTGTAAGTAAGTGGACAGTCCTCCAAATTTCTGAGTTCAGATGTTTCACTGAATGGTACAGACAATGCCACATCATGCTTGTGGCATGAGTTTGGAAAGGCCCTTCCCTGTTTTAGCATGACGGTGCCCCTGTGCACAATGTCTGCTCCATATAGACAAGGTTTGATAAGTTTGGTGTGGAGGAACTTGGATGGCCTACGCAGAGCCCTGACCTCAACCCTACTGAACAACTTTGTGACTTTGGAATGAAACTGTAATATCCCTCGGCTTCCTGGCTCCTCCCGACTGCGTTCCAGGCTGGGGCGCATCGGCCGCGGTGCACGCCGCTCTCCTCCTCCCCCTTGACGGAAGTGTAGATGCGTTCCACGCTGGAACGCGGAAGTAGCCCACGGCCGCGTGACGTCACGGCCGCGGGCTATTTAAACTTGCCATAGATGCTGTGGGGTGTTCGATGATTGGGATCATAGCCCATACACCCCACAGGAACCTCACCAGCCGCCTCGAACCTCTCCTCACGGAGGAAACAGCTCCCCAGCAGCCAGCATCCAGTGGACATCTCTTGGAGGAATCTGATTGCACCTACCAGGAAACTGCAAGTATCTTCAAGCTCTATCTTGACTGTATCTTGGCTCACAGACGCTGCCCTCTGGTGGAGACTTTGGGTATCGCCTCTCTCATGTTTGCAATACTATACCCAGTTATGCTGTATGAAGGGGAGATTTGATGTTATCTGTCATAGAGACTTCACCATTCGCTCACACCTCAATTCCAGATAACATTGCCATCATCAGGGATTGGGTTATCAGTCTTTCTTACATCGAAGGTTATTACGGATTACTATTTAGCGGTCCATGATGACTTAATCCCCTACTCTCCGTTTAAGATTGAGAGAGCCGCCGGGGATTTAAGCCTGACAACCGCACTACACCCCCAGTTGGAACCGCAGCTGTGATCCACCATACTCTTCCCAAGCCGGGCCCTGACAGAAACAGTTCGTAAGGCTGATCTTCTCTTCCAACAGCAGTATCTGACCTCACAAATGTTCTTTCGGCTGAATGAGCAAAAAATTCTTACAGGCACACTCTAAATTCTTGCAGAAAGCCTTCCCATCACAAGTGGTGGAACACTCTATATTAATGCCCATTGCTTTAGAATGGGATGTTCAGCAAGCTCATAGAAGTGTGCTGGGAAGGTGTCTACACACATTTGGCTATATAGTGTAAGTTTATATACATTGTTGCAATATTCTAAGCTGGCTGCAGGCAAGAAAGTTGCTTAACCCAAAAATGTTGGTGATCTTAGCAGAGAGATGGTCCTTTGGGTGGCAAAGTTTTTGTGTCCATATGCTTCAGTGGTATGTAGTGTCTGAAGTGCATTCTTCCTGTCTGCTATACTTGCAAAGAGAATAACTGTGTTTAAAGTCTCAGTGCACCGATACCTCTACCTCTGCACGTTCTTTTCCCAATGGCAGCCCTATAAATGTGTGCAGTCATTCTCAGACATCTTTTCCGGGAGTCCTAAAAATACATGGTCCTGTCAGACTGACGAAACTGTCACTCAACAAAAAAGATGTTACCATTGTCAGCATTAAGTCTATATAGAAGATCAAATCTGTTTTTTATTTCCTCAGGTGATGCAGACCTTGATTTTGTTGATGATGCTGACATAATCTCCAGGTCAGAATTCCCAGAAAGCTGGCTCTGGAAGATAGAGACAATGAATGAAAAACCAGACAATGGGTGAGTGAAGGTCTTTGGGGACCAAACCTAAAATATGGATAGTGGTATGTACTGAGTAAAGCATTAACTCGTTTTTGCAGTTAATATGTAATCAAGTAAAACGTTAAAGGGTATGCAAACTCTAACAAGAGCTTCTCTTATTTGCTTTCTGTGATCTATTCATATACAATTAAAAGCATTGTGTCATACAGTATCTGTTCAATAAGTGCAAAAAAAAAACTTGTTGATCTTGCCAGAAATTCATTGACCTCATAACTTCCTGTCTACTTGCACTCACTGTTATCATGTTAGCATTGTTACCAGTTATTTCTGTGACTACAGAACCTCTGCCCCATGCTTAGAAGGGGGAGCGGGAAGTATACTGTAGTCTTAGCACACTTCCTTCCCTGGGTGACAATGGTGCCTCTCCACAGATACAGTAGGATGAGTGAGCCACAAAACAAAAAGAGAAAATGAATGTAGTCACCACATCTAAGGATTGCTACTCTGCAATATACTCTGCAGCTTACCTCCTTTCACTAGA